TTTTTGGTGGTGGGGCAGGAAGGGGAACGCCCCTACCTGCTTTCTGGTAAGAATTAATGCATGTAGGCGTGTTTTTCATGAGGCGCGCGGAGGGGGGAGGGGACCGCCCCTACCTGCTGGTAAGAATGAATGCAGGCGTGTTTGTTTGGTGGCACAGGGGGGGGAAGGGACCGCCCCGACCTGCTCTCGGGTAAGGAAGCAGGCGTTTTTTTCTGGCGGGGGGGGGTTGTACTCATAGTCGTGCACGCCGTAGTCGTAAAACAAATTTGCATCGCATCCGCACAAAGCCGGGACGGAGCACGTCGGGTTCTCACCGGACCAGGCTCTCACATCGCCAAGCGCGAAGCGCCGTGAGGTATTCGGCGAGTCGCATGAAGGTCGCGCCGGTGGTCTAGGTGGTATCCTCGAAACCTTCTAGAGGTCAGGTCAGGGGTCCGAATCCCGGCGTAAGCGAGCTTTTCTTGCAAAGTGAGTTTTTCCCTCGCTTCCGCTCCTGGCCGAGTGGATAGCGCTAGTTCGTGTGTACACAGAGGGAAGAGAGTGCTGAACTCTTCTCTCATTAAAAATCGAAGGCAAAGTACCGCAGGAGGGGAGGGTTTAGAGAGGCTCTTCTGTGTGACCACGGGTTGGAGTAAACGGCAATAGTGCTGTGAGCGCTGTGATTTGAAGTGAAGAAAAAAAAGAAAAAAAAAATGAAGGGGTGCGCTGCATCCTGCCGAGGGTGTTTGTCATCTTTAAGGTGACGAAGGAATACCGGCAGACAGCAGCCAAGTTAGTGCGTGCCATCTTTCTCTCCTCGCCGTTCGTGTGAGCCTATCGAGTGGCCGGGGGGGGGGGGGCGTACTCATGCCTTGCATGCCTCAGCTGTTGAGACCATTGGCCGCGCGCCCTCGACAAGGACGGAGCATTGTTGTCCCCACAGGGCCGATCGCCGATGGCCAATAGGACGCGGGGGTAGTGCGAATTTGCTCGCCGGCCGTGCCCGCCAGCCAGAGCCCCGTTTGCCTGCCGGCTTTCGCTGCGGGCGTTTGGTGGTCGTGGCGGGAGAGGATTGACTGCTGTGCAGCGGCCTGGAGGCGACGACGTCAGGGTATTGGGACGAGCTTCTGTGCTCATGGTTGTATGTAGACCTCGGTTTTCGCCCACTGTTTCTTTGTTTTTTCTTTTTTTTTCAATGTTGCGTCGACGTGTTTCTCAACCTTCGCTCTTGTTTGTGTGCTTACTCCCTTCCTGCCCTCCCTCCGTCCTCCGTCCCTTGTTCTTTTTCTCTCCCTGTTTCTCTTCCTCTCTCCCTCTTTCCCTTTTTCCCTCTCTGTCTCTCTCCCTATCTCCCTCCCTCCCTCCTCTCTCTCTCTCTTTTTCTCCCTCTCTCCCCTTCGTCTCTCTTCTTCTGTCTGTCTCTCTGTGTCTTCCCTCCCTTTCCCCCTGCTCCCTCCCTCTCCGCTCCCTCTCTCTCCTCTCTGTAAGGCTCCGACGACCGTACGGTTAAGATCTGGGACTACCAGACCAAGACGTGCGTGCAGACCCTCGAGGGGCACACCAACAACGTCTCCGCCGTGCTCTTCCACAAGCGCCTCCCCATCATCGTCTCCGCGGGGGAGGATGGCACCATCCGCCTGTGGTGAGCGGCCGGTCGTGACGCGTGTACCTCATCATGTGTCTTGTCTATGTGACCAAAACGTTGTTAAGAACACAGTTAACATGAACACACACACACACACACACCCACACACATGAGCTGGAGGGTAGTTGTTTGTCTTGCCCCAATACCGAAGTTGCAAAACGTACGATTCAAAAGCTAAATATTCTCTTTAGTTCTATGTAGTGACAGGCGACCATCGTTACCGCCGGCGAGGCGGGTACCATCGTTACCACGTGTATGTCTTCCCCCCCCAAAACAAAAACCTTCAACATTGAATAGTATCAAATCAGACATCCCCCATAAGTCGGAAGGAGTGATTGGCCATCGGTGGTCGGTCCTGTGGTAACAATGCTCCGTCCTCTCGAGGACGACGCGTGGTCAATGGTCTAACCGCTAAGGCGTGCAAAAACATAAGAGCCCCTCCACCCACCCCCAACCCCCTCCCCCGTTATTAATAGTGTAAGCGTTGTATAGTTATCGACGTGTTCTGCTGCGTCACTTCGTGAACCACGGGGCAGGCACTGACGCAAAAACTCCCGGTTGACTCTCGAAGCGACTGCTCTGTGCCTTGTTTGGACTTCGAATTAACTGCCGTACCTTTGTTTATCGCCGAAGCGACTGCTCTACCTGTTTCTGACGTCGAAGCAAAACTGCTGTACCTTTTCTTGATCATGGGGCAGGCACTCGACGACGTACCGCGCGGAGACGACTCTGAACTACGGCATGGAGAGGGTATGGGCCTTGGCTGCCTCCCCCGACAACAACAAGGTGACCTGTCCTTACTGTTGTTGTTGCTATTGGTGGTGGTATTGCTGTTGTCGTTGCTGGTGGTGGTTTGCTGGTGTTGCTATTGGTGGTGGTATCGTTGATGTTGTTGTTGTTGTTGTTGCTGTTGTTGTTGTCGTAGTTGTTGCTGTGGTTATTGTAGCCGCTATTCGTGGTGGTGGTGGTGGTGCTGCTGCTGCTGCTGCTGCTGCTGCTGCTGCTGCTGCTTGGGTTCCGTTGTCACTGCCAATGCCGAGTTTTTGTTGTGTCCAACAGGGGGTCTTACCCTGTTTTGCCCTCGCTCGCTCCCTAAATAGGTGTTTTTTCATCTTAAACAATAGGGACCGGCCGGTCTGTGTTGTTGTACAACTTATACGCAACACCGTCATGAAGTGCACCCTTTCATATGTGGATAGAACAAAATTCGTTGCTATTCAGTTCCGTCCTAGACGCTGTATCGGTGGAGGTGAAATTGTTGTCGTTCTTGTCATGTAAGTAGTGCGTAGTAAGAAGTTTCACAAAGAAACGCCGCTGCCAGACATGACTTTGTTTTTGTTTTTTTGTGTACATAATTTATGCAAAAGAAATCCACGTTGTCAATAGAACGTGTAAATATTGAATAACGAGATAAGTCACAGGTGAAAATGTGAAAATGACGATGACGAAACACGCCTGCCTTTGCTATGCTATCTCGCCGTCAGGTGGCGATCGGCTTCGACGAGGGGACGGTGGTGCTCAAGCTCGGGCACGAGATGCCGGTGGCCTCCCTGGACACGCACACGGGCAAGGTGGTGTGGGCCCTCAACAGCGAGATCCAGACCACCTCCCTCAAGGGGCTGGTGGGCGACGGGTCCGACGTGAAGGACGGGGAGCGCCTTGCGATCGTGCCGAAGGTGGGTGTTTTTTTTTTGTGTGTTTCCGTTCGGGGAGATTCGTACACGGGTGTATGTGTTTTGTTTATTAGCATCCACCACGCTAACGGGCTGACCATTGAAAAAACGTCAGTCTCAGTGCGGTTGAAACCACAAAATACTGCTGGTATGGCGACAGTCCCCCCATTTTTCATGGTGAGACACGTGTCAGTGTAGTATGTAGAGTACTAGCACATTTCAGTGTAATTTGTCGTACGACTGCGACCATCCAGGGTCACACAGGAGGGGGGTAAAAACACCGGGGCTTTGTTCTTCAGTATACATTTTTTCGTGCCCCACCTTTGTATTGGCGTTAATTTGGGTTCCTTTTGTGTATTGTGGTTGTGCCGGTTTTTTCGGGGGGAATGGGGGGATGAACCGCAGGTGACATGATATGCCAAAGATACTACACCCCCTGGAACGATTTTCAAAGCTTCATTGCTCCACGACGAATAGGATGCTAAAATCAAAGGATGTGTTGTCGGAAAGCCCTCGACGAGACGGTTCCAACGCCTCCCGCCATCTTCGGCAGCCGTCACTGCGTTTCCCGCCGAGCATTCGAGCTTTGAAAATGGGGCCAGGGGTGTGTGATACCTTGTGTCATCATGTCACCTACGGTAGTTGACCATTGGGCTCGCGTCTCGGTCTCACTGTGATAAAGGTGGGTTGGTTTGTCTTGTCCTATCGACAACAGGGGCGGGTGGCGGGAGG